CCCGTGTCCCTGCCCTGTACGGATCTGGGTCTGCCCCACGGAGAGGTGCCTGGGGCTGAGAGGTAGCCTGGTGTCCAGGCGGTGTCTTCAAAGGCAAGAGCCGTGATGTCCCTGAGCCCGCGGGCAATATCCCAGTCTGTTGGCCTCACGGAGTGCTCTGCGCCGCAGGGTGAATTTCTCAAGATACATTGGAGATGGAGCTGCTTACCTCTCGGTATTTACAGGAATTGCCTAAGCAAATCCCCATGCAACCACCGGGAGAATGTAACCCCGCGTTGTCCTCCGGCTTTCGACACGCCAGACGAGCGGCGGGGGCTCTCGGAGGACTTGTCTAGCTCGAGGGATATGAGCAAAGCTGACGGGAGGCAGCAACTGTGTTTTAGACCGCAGCTGTGCACGTGTCTGGAGCTATTTTCCCCAGCCTTGTGCCTTCCAGCCCCTCTCCTTGGGAGCCAGCGATGCAGTACAACTTGCAGGAATCCCGTATTCCTGAGCACGTAGGCTGGTAATCACCGAGACAGCTGAGGCCGTGGATTTGTTTGCATAGGCTTCTCCAGCAGAGCAAACATTTGTCAGATCTACATTCCGCTGAAAGGTATCTCGTTTTGTTAATTAAAAAAAAAAAAAATCAGTGGAGAAATAATAGCACAAACGATACAATCCTATTTCCAGCTTGGCAACCCTGACCGTCTCCCCTTGATTTTTAGTACTTGTGCAGCTTCTTTGTAACTCTGAACATCTCCTTAGTTTCCACGTTGACTGGTGGCCAAATTCCCAGTCCCACTGAACTCTGTGGGAGTTTTGAGCTGAATCAGAATTGCGAGTGAAAATAGCTCTTCAGCGTGAAACAAAACAGGGGCAACAGGTAGGAGAGCATTGTGCTGCGGTGGAGCACAGGAGCGAGCGGGGCAACAGCAGCTCAAAGGGGTGGCCACATCCCTCGATGCCTGTCTGCTTTCCCTGGGGCCTCATGATCTGTTGAGGTTTTTAGGAGTTCCTCAGCTTGGGAAGAGGCTGCTGCTCATCATCGCTGGAAGATTTGAGTTTTCACCCAGGTGTTTTAACAAAGCATTTGGGTGAGGTAGGGTGGAGGAGGTTAATTTTCTACCAAGGATGGTGTGCCATGATACAGCACTTTGGAACAAGCATGCCCTGAAAGTAATGCAGGTGCCAGGGCTCCTTCTGCTGTGGTTCGTGCCAGCAGTGCAGCACTGTCCCCACGGCTGATGGGGATGTTCCTGCAGACCACAGCCTGTCCCATGGCCTCAGCCCCGAGTCCACACGTCAAGGATTGCTTCTTGGTCCCCCCACAGTGTTTGGTCCTGCCCTGTATCAGCAGTGCCAAGGTTTGAGTGAGGAGGACAGCCAGCATCTCTTGCCAGTGTCAAAATGCACCTTCCCAAACTGCGAGCTGCTGTCTCCAGGACCAGCACCTCCAGAATAACCCACGGATCCCCAGATCTTCAGCCCGTGGGTCGGGAACCCCTGTCCCAACAACAGGAGGGACCCAGCAGTGGGAGATCCCCATTCCCACGTCCACCACTGGTCCCTTCTCCTTGCCCTGGTGCCTCCTGGTGCTGCTCCCCATGCAGGCAGCAGGTGGAGGACCAGAGCCAGGTGATGGACATCCACAACCCCAAATCCCTGGGTCTGGAAGTATTTTTGGTTACCTGAGCATGGTTGCTTATCCCAAGTGAGCCGAGCCACCCTCTGGATGTGTGCACTTCTGCACGAGCCTGTTCCCATCAGCTTCACCCCCAGACTGTGACCTGGGCTGAGGGGCTCCCATCTCATCCCCCTTCCTGAGGTCTCAGCCTTGGGAGTGCCTCCACTGCGTCTGGGAGCAGGGATGGGCCATCCCAATCTGCCAGGCTTTGCAACGCTCTGCAGACAAAAAAAAAAAAAAAAGTTTTTGAGATCTGGGCCCCGTTCTCCCTCCTTTGGCTTTTTGTTCTGCGGAGAGTCCTGTTTCTTCTTGGCTTTTCTTCTTCACTGGGGTGTTGGGAAGATAATAGCACAAAACGAGTCTTTGCCTGAATGTTGGATTATCGTCTAGACCCGAGCCTGCTGCCAAGTCACGGACGCTGCTTCTTGTTTGCCATTCTCCTTCCTTTGCCTTTTATTTCTAGCATTTTTTTCCTAACGTGTTTAACTCTGGTGTTTTCCATCCTGTGGTCAGTGACTGCAGAGCTTCGGTTTGCATTTGTGTTTGCTGTGCCCCTTGCCATGTGAATTTTGCCTTTCAGCTATCCTGCATGGGAACAGAGCTGCTTTTTGGTCTCCCTGTCTTGTTGTTAAAGCCCCAAACTGAATAATCTTTCACATTCCACGTTGACTTAGCTGTGATGTGTCTTTTTTTCTGTTAAACTTCTTTTTTTTTTTTTTCTTTCACAGCCCTTAAACAGAAACTGTTGGGTTTATGGTATCATTATCTTGGGAAGAAATGTCCCTTCACACATTTCTTGCAGGAATTTATGGCGGTGGGAAGAGGCTAGGTTGGCTCCCAGGTCCTTTCCAGACATTTTGCTTTGCCCCTTCTTATATTAAAACTGCATCTGCATGCAGCTTTTATCATTTCTGTGCAATATCTGCAATCTAAATGCATTGACAGTCTGTTTGGCCGATCACCCAAGCCTGGAAGTGCACCCAAACAGTTAAACTCTGATATTGAAGACGAAAGAGCAAAACCACAGAAAGGTTTTGCTCAGTTGTATCAGCAAAACCCTTGCACGTTTAAGCATGCGAGGGCTTAGAGCTAGATAAGGGGTATAACTAACTTTTATTTTGACATTCCCCTTTTAATAAGCATTGCTCTTTATGCATTTTATAAAGCGGTTTATATGATTGCGTTACTGGGAGGAAACAAAGAAATGCCAGGAAAACTTTATGTGGAGAATCTGTACTCATAAAATGGTTGTAGGCTCCAGCAAACAGGAAAGCTTCCCCCATCTCCTTTTCTTTTTTTTTTAATTCCCTGCCATTCAGCTTGCAAAAAAAAACAAAACATGTTGAGTATCTCAGAAAACCGGATTCAATGGTCTGAGACTAAACACAAATTCCTTCCACTGCCACCAAGAACAAGCCTGTTGGGCCCGCCTTGGCCAAGCACGAGCCCTCGCTCTTTGTGGTGGGGAGCCAGTTGGCCTCGCAGAGTAGGTTTTTAACTCCCGTGGCTGCCAAGGAATACAGATCCGAGGGGCAGCGTGGTTTGGCAGGCCGGGCTGGGGACGGTTTAGCCACTGACCATGGCGATGTGTTGGTGAATGGACGCTTCCTGCGCCCCAGCCCATGGAGCTGCGCAGCGCAGATCTGGGCCGTGGAAATAAAACAAGTTGCTGTGTGGGGTGTTTGAAACTAATGGGCAAGGATGAGCCACAGAAAGGGGATTGTGGAGGCTGAAAAAGCAGCAAGGACGTGGCTCCTGCAGCCCTGTGTGCTGCCTCTGCCTCGTGGGACCCTGGAGAGGCTGCCCTGCGCCTCCCGGCACTGCTCCCGAGAGCCTTGTAAGGAGCGGAGCGTTTGGGCATCCCACGTGCTCTCCCAGCAAATACCAAGCGTTAAAAAGGCAGCAGGCACGCAGGGAGCTGCCACTGCACTCAGGGCTAGCCCCAGCGCCGTGCCAAGGCCTTTAAACAAAGCCGGCCGCTGCTGCCTGGTGCCTCGGGGTTAACCCACTCCAAAGCAGCGCAGCACCAGGCCGCCGCCAGCAGCCCGAAGCCTTGCCCTTCGGGGTGAGGAGAGACCTTTAAACTTCCTTCGCTCTTCTTCTGCGCACGTATCTGTGTGTTGCAAGCCCTGATAATCCTGTCTTCACAGCCCGTGTGGAAATCTGAAATGTCCAAGTTCAGCGGGAGGGTGCAAGACACTCTGGCCGCATCTGCTGGCAGGAATTTCCTCCCGCTCCGGCTTCCTGGAGGAGGGAGCGAGGGGAAAGTTTCCTCACTCTTGGGCTATTTTTTTTTTTTCGCAGCTCAGTGCAGCAGTGTCTGCTTCTGAGGAGCCCTGTCACGCCAGGCGTGTTTCTGGAGGCGACACGAGCTTTGGATGCGAAAGCAAAGAGGCTGCCAGAGCATTTCTTGCACTGGGCTGCGGGGTTGTAGGGGACCTGCCGGCAGCGAGGGGCGAGTGCTGGCTTCCGAGCCGTGCTAGTTCCTCCAGCAAACCACTCACAGGCCATTCCTCCTCTTTGTGCCTGTTGAATTTCCATGCTGCCCGCTTTGAGCCACATTTTCACACTGCCTCCTGTCCAGAGCCACTGGCCCTGGCTCCCCGTGCTGCCAGAGCCGAGCGTGGTCCTCAGCTTCTTCATACACATCCCCTGCATAGCGATGATGAAGGACAGGCATAAGGGAAACAGAAAGGGCAAAAGCATTTGGTGTGGGCACCTCTTTTCCTTACAAGTTTGCTTTGTAGCTTTTTTATTTCTCTGTTAGAAGTCCTTGGTGCGGCGTGCTGTGAATGAGCACATCAGGACGCCCAGCTGGTGCAGCAGGGGTTTGGCATGCAGGGGAGCCGTGGGCCAGGTATATCGGGAGGACTTCAGAAAAGTCCTAACACAACGTAGCTAACACAATGGTCATGTTAGCTACCATTAACCTGGCTCCTCTTTTGTGCTGGGGTGACCAGAGAGCCACCCCGAGGGCCAGCCTGTTTGGTGAGGCAGATGTGCGGTACAGCCCTTGAGTCTGGGGTTTGCTTCCTTCCCTCCATCGGGGCTGCGTCTGAGGTAGGTGCTGGGCTCGGCAGGGTTTAGGAACATCAGTTGCTATGAGACGGTGCTGCTGGAGTAATTTATATGAACGCGGAGGGCTGAGATCATTAGGTAGTCTGCTCCTATGTCGTTTCCATGACGCTGCAGACACTGCATGAATGAAGCCATTTTGTGAGTAAATATGGTTACTGCTGCCTGCTCAGGAGAGACCTACCTCATCTTCGTTGCCCTTGTGCTACCAGCCCATGCAAAAAACAGGGCATACTGACCTCTTTCTTTGCCTTCCCAGGCGACAGCAGAGGCTCCCCGGAGGGAACAAGTCTCAGCAGCACGCAGATCATCAGCAAGGCGGCACCAAACACAACAGGGACCACCAGAAGCTCTACCAAGGAGGCCAGGCCCCGCACTCCTCGGGCAGGACGGGCCACCACGGCTACAGCCAGAACCGGAGATGGCACCACAACCAGAAGCACTCGCCCAACGACAAAGAAACGCACAGAAACGCCAAAGAGACTGAGAACCTGAAAATCGAGGACAGCTCCGTCGGCACGGCCGAGACGCAGCGGGGCCCCGAGGCGGGGGAGAAGCAGTCCCAGCAGTACATCCAGGAGCCCGAGACCAAGAGGAAAGACAGTATTCACGAGCGCATCGCGGAGAGACCCAAGATCAATCTGCTCCAGTCTTCCAAAGACAGGCTGCGGAGGAGGCTAAAAGAAAAGGTACTGCTCTTAGGGGGACTTGGGCTTACCCTTTTTCCAAGAGCCTGGCTGCTGGCCGTGCAGGGTGGGCTGTACATACTCCATACAGGGTGGGCTGGGCTCAAGGGACCTCTCTGTGAAATGCACCCAATTTATCTTAATATCCCTATGTCAACACTTCTCTTGAAGTGTCCCCATGCTTCTTCAGGAGGCTTTTTACTGACACAGTGCTTAGGCTCTTAGCTTGCCTCCACGATTGAGGTTGCTACCTCTTTCCAGGAGGGACTGGGAGCTCGTCCCTATCCCCTCGAACACCCTCGGGGAAGGCTGAGGCACGTGGGCGCTGCAATATGGGCCCTCCCTCCCCGGGCTGATCCCTGCTGACTGCCTCCACTCGGCAGAGCTCAGAGAGGGCTAAAAAAGGCAATTCAGCTCTCCGCAGCTAAGGAGCAAAATACCAGGCTTTGACTTCTGACTGCTGAGCATTTGTAGTCAGCTACTTAAAAGTTGATACCCGTTTATCTCGGCGATGAATTGAAACTCCCTTATCTTTCCCCCTTCCTTCCAGCAACCCAACAATAACAAAGCCATTGCTTGCAAGTGATGGAGGAGAATCCAAACAATATGCAGCCTCAGATTTCTGAGGAATTCGGAGATCTCCACTTGCCCTCTGTGCAACCCAGACTCTTTCCCTTGAGATTCTCTTCTCAGACTGGAAAATGCATTCATGGGGGGACCTCCAATGAGATTTTTAAAACGTGTCACAAAAATAATCTGAACATATACAATTCCATGGGAGTGCACGTTGGAAATGTATACCTTTGAATGCATGTGCGTTTACTGTTTACGTATGTGCCTTGAGGGTGAGGAAAAGGTTTTGCTAGTTAGTTTTATGTTATTTAAAGCGATGGAAGTACAGCAGAGACTTTCAGAGTATTCACTGCAGTGTCTGCCCTGCGAATTTATAATCTGGTAAGAAACACATCACATAAGCACCCACTCTGGGATGCATGTAGTCAGCCCGGCTGGTGTCCTGATAGCTCCTGCTGGCTGGCCTTGCAGTTGTCCAGACAATTGCTACAGGTTTGTGTGGTATAATCTGTGTTAAGATTGAACCATGGGAGGTGAAGGGAGCAGACCAGAGCAAGCAGGATGCATGCCTTATGCAGTGGAGGAAGGGAAAAATGCCTAATTAAATGTTAAAAAGAAGCAGTGAGTTCTGCGGTAATGGCATGAAGTAAAATGCGTAGCAGTGAAGAGATGGAAAAGTTAGGATTTTTTCTAATGCCTGGAACATGTGAAAAACATCTTTGACCCGCATTTAAATCATTAAATATACATTAAAATGCAGATACTTTTGTGGGATTGCTATGCGAGCATTTTGCAAGCAAGAATGCACTTTGGAAAGAGAGGCCAAAAAAATGACCATTATTACCATGTTCCAGATGGGAAGCTGAGCAGACAAGGCCAGAAACCTGTCTGAGACTGCGAAGGCAGTCGGGGTGATCTGACCTTGGCATCCTGGCTCAGAGCCCTCGAGCACATCTTCTCCCTGGGCTGAGGAGGAAGACTCTGGGATTGCGTGCTGCGGGAAATGGGGAAACGGCACATTTCTGGGTCAGGACTCACTCCCTTGTGGTTTTCAATGCTGAGATGAGACCATTGTACCTCTAGAGGATGCTCTGACTTTTCTAGGTCTGTTTATATGTCTCCCCTGTCCCCTTTCCCCCTTTGCTGTCTGTGGAAGGACAAGGGCTGATACATCTGTTTTCTCCTTGTGTAACAGACGCCTTGTCTTTCCCTTTTCACGGACCAGGACGAAGTCACGGTTGAAACCACCAATCCTGAAAAGAACAAAATGGACAAATTAATTGAAATCCTTAACAGCATGAGGAACAACAGCAGTGATGTTGACTCCAAGCTCACTACCTTCATGGAGGAGGCCCAGAACTCCACCAACTCTGAGGAGATGCTGGGGGAGATAGTTAAGACCATCTACCAGAAAGCGGTGACAGACCGCAGCTTTGCTTCCACAGCAGCCAAGCTCTGTGACAAAATGGCCCTCTTTATGGTGGAAGGAACCAAATTCCGGAGTCTGCTCCTCAACATGTTGCAGGTAATTAGACGAAGTTACTTGGCTAGGCGCTTGCAGCTTCACCCCGCCAGGTCTCACCATGCGTTTGGGCAGGAGCTGGGCTTTGACCAAATTCCTTTTTGGCTCAGGTAACAAGAAAAGTGCTTCTGCATTTCCTTTTAATGGTTGCTGTAGGCACTGATACATCATCCAGCTGCTCTTCATTCCCATTTCAGGAGCTGTAGGTGGAAACACGGTGTGTCACAGCAGGGCCCACCTGTGAAAGGAGGGCATTGCTTGTGGCAGCATCCCCGTGACATGAAGAGAAGTGAGCTTGGCCTTACAGTGAGGGGTCGTTGCTGCTCCTTTGGGCTCTCTTGCTGCTGTCCCCCCACCTCTCAGCACCATGGGTGTCAAGTCATGGTCCCTGGGAAGGCTGTTGTCCACATCACCTGGCAGAAAAGCTTGCTCCTGGTTTCTCATTGCACCCTGGACATTAATAATTTGTGTATTTCGTACCTATTCTGAGTGACTTGCTTAGTGGGATAGGTTGTTCTGATCCAAAAACCACCAGCGACAGCAAAGTCAAGGTGGGCATGTGCTTTCTGGAGAGGGTGTCACACAGACCTCCGTCTTTCTGCCTCTCTGCAGGCAGGGCATGCACAAATTTGCATCTTTGCTTTAATTTGCATTTCTGTTTGGCCACTTGCTCACACACACAGCTCTCGTTCTCAGTGTCTGCTCGGTATCCAGCACTGCACCCTGTTTTTTTTTGGCACACCTGCCTGCCCTCCTTCTGTGCCTGTGTGTACCCGCTGGGGGCCAAACACAGCTTTTGGGGATGTGGCATGTGGCAGCCACTCGTGCTTCTGATCCTGCTGTGGAGGAGGTGTTGGAAGATATCTTCCTGCCCTCCAGGCACCTTCTCATGTCTGATCAGCAGGCAAAGGGCTGCCAGTCGTATTTACAGGGCTGGGAGGGAAGAAGCTGTCATCTTCTGCCACCTCCACCAACGTCGCTGTCTGTGGGCAGCAGCATCCAGAGCAGCAGTGCTCACTGGGGATACTGGGATTTATTTATTATTTTTTTTCCAGGAGTGGAAACTTGGCCTGGAAATGCTTGTTTTAAGGAAAATGTTTCTGGCAATGGATTTTCCTATGGAAATGAGAGGAAAGCTGGTAGACAGCTGTCTGGTAGGTTTGGTTGTCTACCAGATTCAGGGCGCTTAAGTTTTCTGTGCTAGTGATCAGTCCTTCACCTTGGGCAGGTCTTTCCATCTCCCTCTGCCGTGGTTTCCCTCGTTGGCAGCAATTCTGGGTCCTGCAACCAGGGTGCTCAGCTCTTTTTTTCTGCTTCCTTCGACACAAGCTGATAGTGGCTTCATAAACAAGCCTCACAAAAGCCAGCTGGTATTTCTTCTCGAATCTCTTGACATTTTCATTTGAGCCCCCGCTCTTGATTTTGCGGCAGTAGCTGCCGGAAGGGCTGAGGATGAGGAGGGAAGGGATGAAGGTGATGAGAGGAGGATCTGCAGCTCCGCGTGATGTTGTAGCAGAGAGATGCTACGTGACTACAAAGAATGGGTGTGCAGGCTGCTAGGGCAGGAGTTTGGAGGAAACCAGGATGTAGCCAGAATGGTAGGGCTGGGTTTAGAAAGCCCACCTGGATCCGACTTGCACATAGGTCTGAGGAGATGTGACTCCCAGAAGAGTGAGAGCTTTGTCTCTGCTTCACAGCAGGCAAGGAAAAATGTGGAGAGACTGAGTGCTTTAGACAAGGCCACCTGTACAACAGCCCTCTGTGGTGCAAGGTCTGATCCCAGGCTCTCTCATCTCAGATCAGAGCCCAAATTACAGGAGTTTGCATCCTCTTGTGAAGACAGATGTCAAAGGCTCTCCAAAAGTCTGCGAAGGTCAAAACAAGATGGTATGTAAAATTAAGAGAGGGAAAAGGCAGCTACCTCCAAATGCTCTTCACTTGTAAGCACCTGGGAGGGATTTAATCTGCTGGAAGCAAAGCCTAGCGAGATGCCACGGCGTGCAGGGAGGACTGTTCCCTGCAGGGCTGTGAGGGAGAGCAGAGCCAGTGCTCACCCCATGGAGCTGCTGGGAGCTGTGATGCTGGCTGAGACAAAAAGGGCTGAGAGCATTTCTGCATGTCACCACGGGGCTCTCCTGTCCAGGGGCAGCCTGCTGGTGGGGCTGGAGTTGTCCTTCTCCTGTCTTTGTCCTGGGCCAAGCAAGGCTGCAACGCCCTGAACCCAGGCTGAGAAGCAGATCCAGCTAATGGGGGTGTTATTTAGGGCATCTGAGCATCCCAAATGTTGCTCACCAGGCATGCACTGGTGTCTGGGGCACAGCAGCTGTGCCCACCATTTCTCCTGCTCCCTGCAAAGCAGTTTGAAAGTGGGTAGCAGGCGAGTTGCAGGTCTGCTCTCACGTTTTCATTGGCTTTAAATCAAGCTGTTGTCTCCTTTTAAGGGGAAGGAAGCTATTTTTAAGGAGGAAGACGTGGTCTTGGTGTGAGGCAAGAGTGCAGCCAAGGCATGTGGTTCCTGGCACCGACTCATCCCCGATGTGTGGCTGCTGTGCAGTGACCAGCACCCTCTGAATCCGTCCCTGAATCCACTGCAGTTAGGTGAGAACACCATTCCTCAACCATCTTTGCATCCAAGCCCTTGAGAGGTGGCTGGGGATGAACATAGGCATGGAAGCAGGAGCGTGTGGGCATGCAGCACTGCACCAGGAAGCCCAGAGGTGAGCAGGATGGGTCATTTCTCGCCCGGCAGCCAGAGCATCTGTGGGCAGGGAGCTCCGTGGCCACCAGACACTCAAGGAAACCATCCGTCTCTTTTATTTCCTTTGGCCACGATGGAGGAGGGCTTCTTAGGCTCAGTTTTATGGCTAAGCACCACATAACTGCCCAATACACTTGTCATTTTTTAAATATTAGTGCTTTTTAATGTCAGGTTATTTTCCTTTTCCTGGGATTAGAGGTTTTCAAGGCTCTACAGCTGATACTCAGATCGCATGACTCAGGCAGCTCGACGGCCGACAGAACTGTGCCCAAGTCACATAATCGCCCTGCTGCAGGAATAATTTTGCCCTAAAGATAGGTTTTAAAAAATGGGTTCTCAGGGAATATCCCGGTGTCTGCACCAGAGCTGAGAGAAATTATGTGTGGCAGGAGAGGACAGCGAGTTCAGGTGTCGGCCCTCTGTAAGGATGAAATCACCGAGCAGGGATGGGTTCTGGTGACCCATTTGGATCAGGGTTCCCTAGGGGGGTTACCAGGAATTTCTCCTTGCATCTTCAGGAACAAGTGGGATCCTTGCTGTCCGTGTGTCTCACTGCACTGGGAGGCTTAGCCCTGTGCATTAAAATGTTGGAAAAAGCCCACAGAGAGAAATGTGCATGTTTCTGTCACCCCTTATCCTGACCCCGGAGGGGTGTCAGGAGCCACGGAGCGGACCTGAGAGCGGTGTCACCTTGCTTTTGTCTTCTAATGCCCCTGAAACAGCCAGGAGCTGCTCAGGAGGCTGATACAGCAGCTGTGCTGGGGTGAACCTGTGTCAGTATTTGATCTTGGATTACGCTGGTATTCAGCAACAAGGGAAGCAGGCAAAGAAGAAACACAACAACATAATGAAAACCAGTATTTATTGTAAGCTAAGGTAACTCCACGTTGCTTTTCTTACTGCCCTGGACACAACAGATGGGTTTGGCTGAGTGATATAAAACAGTTAGAAAGAGCAGAGCCAAAGCAGAGTCCAGCAGCAATGGCCAGAAGCAGCAGGACGTTACCCCAAAGGAGAGGAAGACGGCAGCCCCCCGGGCTGGGGGGGACCCTTCCAACGTGCCCTCTTGTCACAGCACCACCACAATCCCTGCCAGCAGGCCCAGGGAGCTGAGCTGTGCTGCAGCACCGTGGGCAGTAATGAACGGATTGGCATTCAGCTCTCCGTGGCTGGAGTGCAGGATAAATAATACATCTCGTTCCTCCAGAGAGTCCCTGAGTGCTTCAGAAGAACCTGTAACCAGCCCCGCTGTGCTCGGTGCACGGGGAGGGAGCACAGCGTCTGCCTTGGAGAGCTGCAAAGGCACCGAATGCAAGGAGCGAGCAGGCTGCGTGGTAACTGCTTTCATGTGCAGCACAGGGGAATTAATCTAAAGGGGGTCGCTCCACCCAAAACTGCACCTGGTGGGGCAAAAGTACAAATCAAAAGCACAGCATTAGGTGAAATTAAATAATATAATTTTTTGTTTCTGAGAGCGAAGCATTTTGACTTCCTCCAAACACAGTTTCTTTTTCCAACCCAAATAATCGGATGCATCCACACTGATTTATGAAATACTTTGGTCAGCCCCAAACCAGCACTTTTTGGGGCACATTTGGGCTTGATGGCCCTGGCAGGAGACAGACAGATGTACAGAGCACACAGAAGACTTGCCACAGCTGTGAAACAGGGGGGTTGGCTGCATCAGGGAAAATCTAACATCACCCAGCTCCGGTCCTGACCTCGCCACCATCAGGCAGATGTTTCCCAACAGCCATTTCTAGATAATTTCCCCTTAATTAAAAAACTCCGATAAAACGCTTGCTCTGGAGCTGGATTTCTGTCTCTGCAGCACCTTTCAGACTAATCCGATCCCCGGACCGAAGGCATTACTCCACCGGGGTGTGATAAATCAGGATCACCGTGCCCCCACGGCTGATCCCCCTGCCCGGGGCCGAGCCGCTCACCCCCAGATGGCACCAGCAGATGCTGCTGTTTTCTGGGGCTGAGCAGACTTGTTTGTCCCTCTTCTAGGAGCAAAACACTCACGAATTGCAGCATCTCAGCCCCCGGACACAGGCTGGAGCATCTCCCTTTGGCATTGCCAAACAAATTGTCTTTTTAACCTGCCTCCTCTTATATTTTCAGCTGCTGACAAACACCCGCGTCGGAGGGGTGCTCGTGCCGGTTGCGCCCGGGGGCTGCACATGTTCGCAGCTTATCTCATGGCACTGGTTTTGATCCCAAAACAGATGCCAGCGCCGTG